AAGGCCGTAATACAGTCTTTTGCATAACGCATACAATGAAATTCAAATGCTTCTCTTCTATGAAATGGAAAGAAAGAATGACATAATTCTGGTTGGTAGATTCGCTTATGGGTTATGCAAGAGTCTGTCTCTTTTTCTTCTTCTAATTTGGTATGATCCTTGCCATTGGAATGACAGTGATTCCGGCCAGACATGAACGACAACGATGTGTTCAATCTGAAACAGCTAGCCGCGTCTGGTAGGAAGCGAAGGAATTAAGATTTTCCTCGCTTCCATTGTAACAAGTATATATTTGTTGGGAAGAATCAAATATTGAGATTTAGGGACTTTAAGTAAGCACAGATGAAATGGCAGAGCGTAGTTGGCGGTGTGGATGTCAATGGGGTGTATAAGGAAATGCTTCTTAAGGTATGCTCTTAGTTAGTTTACGAGATTTGCCAATACATAGATTGCAATAAAAAAGAATGTGATTAATATCCTGTCTAAGATTCCCGCAGGGATATTCTGGAGACCCAATGATACCCTTGCGATGTAAGCTGTGAGCTAGATTATAATGGTTCGATCGGATTCTAGAGATAGTAACTACCTCCTCTCTTTTCAGTTTTTTATTATGGAACCAAGGCTTGGGAAAGCTATTTCTGTGGAAAATATCATACAAATGCCCTACCCCTTGATAGCAGTAGAACAATCTAAGTACGCTTGGAACTTAATGTTGGAAGCTCTTTTGGATAAGGCCGCGAAATCTTGAAAAGGCACTTTGAATCTGGGGCGATGTTCGTGTAAGGCAGCTTCATTGGTGAGATGATCAGCTTTTTCGTTGCTATGGATACCCTTGTGGTCAGGAATCCAGACCAAATGTATGGTGAACCCTTGAAGAATCATCTGACTTAAACTATTCTTGATTTCATGGATGAGATAGCTGGCTTTCCTGGAATCACGGGATGAGATCGCATGAAGTATACTTTGTGAGTCTGATAATATGGTAACTTCATCACAACAACGATCCTTAGCCAGAGAGATAGCCAAGAGAATAGCCCACGCTTCGGCTGAAAAAACCGAAATCTCCGGCAGTAATTTATGTCTAATCACAATTTTAAGATCAGAAAAAACACTCCGACTTGATTTTCATTACCCGATTTAAAACCGTCCGTAAACGTTTTTTCTTTAAAATGTTGTTGAAACGGTCCAATAAGGACCGTTGTAATCGTCATTGATCGTTTGCTTCGACAAAAGATAATCGATATGAATTATACCGCGTGCATCCCAAAAAACTGTGGCCATCACCTTTCCGGCCGACTTCACGGTTTTTGCCTTCTTCGGAGCTGGTTCACCCGGTGAAGTTCATTGTTTTGACTGTTCCTTCATATCGGGTGTGAAGTAATGGATCCATGTTTCGTCTACAGTAATGAATCCACGCAGAAATTCATCTGAATTATGTTGAAACATCTCCAAACATTGTTTTGAAATCGTCACACGGTCGCGCTTATGGTCCACAGTGAGTAAACGCGGCACCCATCTGGTCGATAGTTTTTTCCAATTGTTCGTGCAAAATTGAAATCACTGTGCCATGTGATATGCCTGTGACCTCAACAAGCTCGCGCACTTTCATTTGTCGATCAGTCGAAACAATATCGTGGACTTTATCGATGATTTCTGGCGTAGCAGCCTCAATTGGACGTCCCGAACGAGGTGCATCACATGTGGATGTACGACCACGTTTAAATTCATTCACCCAATTGTATACAGTTGCAAACGTTAGTGCAGATGTGCGAGGAACATTATTCAACTCGGCTTTGATTTCTTTCGGCGTTAAACTTTTCATATGTAGATATTTGATCACTGCACGAAACTCGTTTTTTTCCATTTTACAAAAAATACAAAGGTTGTTCGCTTTAATCGTCTACAGAAATTAAACCATGCGAATTCCGTTCAAAATTTGACAATAATTAACTGAAAAATGCTCCTTGTCAAAAAGTAATGTGACATAACACTTGGAGTGCTCTCTAATAGATTTTCTAAGAACTTATTGACTTGTCCTCGTATTATGTCATTAGCTAGCGAACTATGTACAAGAATTAAAAAATAATTTTTTTGTAAAAGTGACACAAGTTTAAAAAAAAATTTCATTTTTTGATGACAAATTTTGCAGAAAATTTTTTATAAAAAAATTTACAACAAAACGTAAAATTTGTACATGGTTTGCTGACAAATGTATTTCAAAAGCTGCAGTCAAAATTTTAAGTAAATCTGTCAAAATTTGTGGAAGTTATGTTTCCGGTCAGCTTCAAAAAAGTGATTTTGAGAAAAACGCTTTTAAAGTTTCATGTAATAATCAGCAATAGAAATTTTTTGTTTATCTACAATATATTCTTTTCCCACGCAAAAATATTTTATCATACGTTTTTTTATTTAATGATTTAAATAGAGCGAACGCTTAATATGGGCGTGACCGTCCGTCGCAGTACCGTCGAGCGCAAAGATGCTGGCGACGTACGTAATAGCGCTGCGTTAATAAAAAAGGAATTAATAATGTCATACTTATATATATAGTTTAAATATGCGTTTATACATAACGCAGTATATAGTTCTTACAATATTTATATAATAAGTAGGTACTTTAATGTAATTTAATTTAGTTAATTTCAAATCGAATTGCAAGCACCTGTTTCCGATTAGCAATAAAATGTACATTTACTTATCACACTATTTATAATATTATCTAAACCATAAACTATTAATTTACATTCTATATTTGATTTTTTAATTTAAATTTTGCGCAAAAAATTTACAGCATCACATTTATCGATGACACAATTTTCATCTAAAAGTGTTACAAAATATTTAAATTTTTCATTGACAATATGCGTATACTAGCATAGCTCAGAGTATATGTTCTCGACGCAATGTTTGAGTCCAAAAATGAAGAGCACGGTTGATGGCTTTATACACAGACATGTACCGCGCAGTGTTAATTTGACCATATTCACATCATGCATTTTTACTATTTCTATCACAAGATACTGAATCGATAATGATGGTGGTATTGTTAATTGCACGAACCGCTAAATATTCGCGCATCTTTCAATGAAAAAACCCGTTACATTGCACGAGACAAGATTATGTCGTTACTTGGTTGTCGCCAATTGCAATTTCCACAAAAGACACAAGTCCCACGATGATTCCGACATCCAGATATTTGTAAGCTGTAGGAGGTCAGCTGTAGGAGTCAGTGTAAAATCCTTTTCCTAATATATAGGAAAAGTAGTGTATGACGGTTTATAAGAAGTACATATATAATAGAGAAAAAAGGAAAACAGATAAACAAACTGTAAAGGTATAAAAAAAATTTATAAAATAAAAACTTACTGTTTATAAAACTCTTCATCTTAAATAGGAACGTAAAACCTCTTGGAATCGTACATGTTTGGAAAGCGTTGCTGTAGCGGTCCGTTTGAACGACTGATACAATAACATTGCCCGAATTTTTTCTAAATTTCGTCTTCACCATATCTTTTCAGGAATGGATATGGACTTGTTCAACCAAGCGAGGGATCAAAAATAAAAACACCGATATATGACAGCTATATTAGTGTAATAAAAGATTTTTTAAGAACATTCGACATGTGTTTCGCGATGACATCATGAATATAATTTTGATACATTGCTACGTAACCAAATAATATGCATAATGATAGAATATTTAAAGATTGAGCCTTGCGACATTGTCAAGTAGTGCGCATAAAAATATATGTCCCACCCGTTGCGACCCTATACTCGCTATAGTATTCGCGCTATCTTTTCTTTCCGTTATATTCTCTCCTACATTCTTTTTCTTCTTACTCACAATTATATTAAATAACTATAGTATTTATTTTAGGATTTTTTAATGATGTGACTTAACAATGATTTTAATTTAACAACTAATTATAATAATATTTTGAGTAATGTCATACAAATAATTGAGCGTTCTTAATTATCAAACCAATTTAAACTATTATTAAGTAGTTATTGAAAACTTATTGTACTACATTATACTGAAGAGGTATCATATTATTAATTAATTCTTAACTATAAAGAAAGAAGATTCGTTTCCAATCGTGATAAGGAGAAACAGGAATGTGCAGGTTTCAAAGTTACGTGACAAGCTAATGTTATAGAAGGGAGCAAAAGAAATATTTTAGGATTGTGGAGGAAACCCAGAAAGAAATAGAGATTAGAATTTTATAATTTCTTATTATTCAATTTTTATTTTAATAATTTAATTAACTTATTTGGGTAAAAATTGCGCGCCTTCTTATCATATATAATTCTAAACCGCTGAATAGAGGCAGGGAACAAGGAGACTAAAAATAATTTTAAAAATTTAATATATTTAAATATCGTATTATACATTTTTTTACAAAACATTAATTCATTTCTTACTTTAAATGTAATGCAGTGTATACAATTTCATCTAAAGCGCACAATACTAATTCACACTCCATGATTTAATCATAAACTTCACGCAATCTTTTAATGCAAAACATTTATTATTAATACAATTTTGGCATATAGTAGTCACAAATTATTGAAATGTATTTTCTTGGATACGATTTTATTAAGAAAATATGATATTCATTTTACGACTTTTATGATGCGATTTTACAATAGAGTGATATGAGTACAAATTTAATAATATTCTAATGATATAAGTCGATCAGCCGAACATGCTATCTTATTAAGTAATTTAATATCACGATGATATGAAGAAGGAATAATGAAGAGATTAAGGAAGAGAAAAATTTTTAAAGTAATATATCTTTTAATATAGATTTATTTATCTAATATTTAATGTAGCATGTACAACATAATTTAAAACTTAGACTAGTAGTTCTCATTCTATAATAGAATTTTCATCATAAATCTTGTGCAAAGTGTTTGCAGCAACGTGTTTATTAGTAATACAATTTTATTAAAAAAATGATATAAAATATTTAAATTTTTCGCTAACACCGTGCGTACATTGGCTTAGTTTATAGTACGCATGCTCGACACATTGCTCGAGCTCAAATAGGAAGAGTACAGTTGTTGGTTTTATGTACAAACATGTACTATACAATGACAATTTTACGTTTTCCATATCACATACTTTAACAAGTTCTACATTCAGATCTTGAATCGGTGGTGATGATGATGACATTTGACTCCATTAATCGTTGAATATTTGCACGTCTATCGATAAACGCCTTCCACGTAGTATGAGGCAAGATTATGCGGTTGCCTCGATTGTCGCAGATCGCAATTTCTACATGAGATGTAGGTCTCACGATCTCGATGTCCAGAAATTTATAAGCTGTCAATATATATATTCGCATCAAGATGTGACGTATGTAGTGAGGTTTCAAAGATGTATGAGAAGATGGGCTATAGAAAAAAAAAAACATGTAAATAGACCTTAGGAAAATACATAACGTATAAAATGTATAGGTAATGTATAAATGTAAAAATCTTACAAAAATTGAATAAACTTATTGTCTCTCGCCTCATCCTGTTGAATTGGAACGTAATAATTCATAGTGTAAGACGTTTTCAGCAGTAGTGTATACTCGTACTCTGATACAGTAGAAGCAATCTGCTCTATGTAGTAGCAGCGATCCACAGAGCAACTGTATGATACTGATGTAATAAGACTTATGTAAGTCATAAGTCTTTTTCTTTAAATAGCGATCACCAACACAAATTTTCAGAAGCTTTGCATTCTATTGAATTCTCAGCGTATGTAGTGAGCCAACTGACTGAATTAATAATGTCGCCATAAGTCTCTCTAATTAGTGCTCAACATTTCACATTTTCCAGCAACATATCCAGATTACCATTGAAAATTATTATTTTTGCATCATGAATTATTTCAATTTTGTCTCTATGTGTGTGTGATTTTACTTTAATATAACTATCATAATTACATTACATTGACATTGAAGTAATATATGTTCCACAATGTCTATGTGTGGATGAGCTTCGCTGTATGTTCCATCAGTAATGAATCGTACAATGACATGTAGGAAGACTTAAATTTACGTAATTATCAAACTTCGAATCACACACATTGATATGTTTATATATCAGCTATGTTTTATGTTTGGTACATCATGTATTACTGTGAATACGTTCCGAAATTGCATCATCACTCAAATGCATCATCGCAATATTGCTTATTTATTTCACGCAGAGTAATGTGTTACGTCCGGACTCGCACGACTCTTTTCTTTCGTAGAGATCTGGAATTCGTCGAAACACAAAAATTTTATCTTCTTTCCTTTTTTCTGTATACTAAAAACTAAATCAAGGAATCCGGTGTCTCCTCGTGAATGTCGCTCCGAGATAAACTAAATCAATAACAAATAAGAAACGCGACGTTCAGGAGTATGCTGGGTGGCGACGATGCATGGGCGGCTTATCGGCGCACGAGACGTGCGTTTTCCCATAAATCTCAAGATCATAAAATTTTGGAAGACACCTTCCCATACTACAGATTCCTGTCAACATCCTTTCCTCCCCTAAAATCTTGACCAATCCAAGAACAAAGGAAAATCCTACTACCAGCTAACGAAACCTATTCCACCAATCCAAATTTGAGTAATCCGGGGCGATTATATAAAAATCGCGATTCCGCAGCCCTCGAGATAGATTCTCCTCCAAGTCTAGAGAGGTAGATTTTTCATCCAAGTCTAGAGAAGTCATCGCAATTCTCAGAAAAGTTCCAACCACAACATATTGCACCCTACGCCACCTTCTCCGAATTTTGGGGTCATCCTACATATCGCCATCTCAGTAATAAGTCAGTATATCTCTATTCTCTGGCTCCCTCCTCGTTTTATCTTTTGGTTTATTTCAATATTTCATTTTATCTTTTTTTATTATTCATTTGTTTTATTTTATTTTTATTCTTTTCTTTCTTTCTTTCTTTCTCCCTTTTCTTTCTCCTATGTACAAGAAAATTAAAACATTGCAGTCCGTTCACGTTATAATTTCAATCTGTCGCCGTCGTCCCACGATAATTGTTTGCCCCCTGCACGCACGCACTCACGCACGCACGCACGCACGCACGCACGGACGCACTCACGCACGCACGCACGCACGCACGCACGCACATTCATAAAAGCGTATGTATAATTCAGAGTAGAATAAAAAATTGTTACTTTTTAATTTACTTTTTAATTTACTCGACAAAATTGTATTTATTTATTTTTCTCAAAATGTATCACTCAAATTTGTTTTCTTTTTATTATTATATCATTATTAAATTAACTTCTCAGTAGTCTTTATTTAAATAAAACCTCTCCTCGTATTCTTAAGTTCTCCCGCGATTGCACTTCGTCCTCTCCCCGGTCACTTGGATTCCATGACCGAAAGTCAGAGCATACGACCGTACTGGCATAGCTGGCGTTAAAGTGCGCTCTCTCGGCGCACTGACCCAGTTGGGCCCTTTAAACGTACGTCCGACTCGTGTGTCCGTTTAGCGGAGCACGAGCAGAGGTTTCCATTTCGTCCTCCGTTTGACCCCCGGCTCGTTAGGAGTCTCAGGACGAAGCGAAGCGCCTCCCGATTTGCGTCGGTCCGTCCCCACGGCTCCCTCTCGGTCCGAAGCCTGGACACGACCAAATCGGTCTAACAATTCGGTTCCTTGTTACGTTCATTCAACTCCGCATGCGCGCGGAGCTTGGACGTAATAAATGTAAACGTATAATTTTTGTTTAACGTTTAAAATATAATATCCTCACAAACGTTTTTTGATGCGATGACTGCGGCGGTAACTCATTGAGCGACTGTATTAGAGCTCTCTTTCGTGCGTTTTCAATTTATTGTTCTTATTTTTTCTATTTTGTTTCCATTTGTTTATTTTTTTCTTCGGACGGTATATTCAATGTGGAATTTTATTTATTGTATTTTTACAAACATGCGAGTTAATTTTTAGTGTAATTGCCATGAAGCCTACATTAAACTATGCAATGACACATATTAGAATGCTTTTTGACGATATCGAATTTTTTTTTATATAAGGTGTAGTAAAAAGAAATCTATTATTTTTGCATTAAATTGAAGGCTTTATTTAGCATAGTTAGAATGATCCGATTTAGGTCAAATATGCACCGTTTTGTTTGATAACTTGTTGCCATTTGGAAGGTAATTTCATTATGCCTCTCTCATAGAAACCCTCGTCCCTATTGGCTGGGCTAAAAAACTGGGACAGTCGATTTTCACAAGCTTCTCTTGAGACGAATTTTTCACCAGCAAAATCATTCGCCATAGACAGGAACAGGTGGTAATCACTTGGTGCCAGGTCCGGACTATAAGGTGGATGCATAAGAACCTCCCAACCAAGCTCCCGGAGCTTCTGGCGAGTCACTATCGATGTGTGTGGCCTGGCGTTGTCTTGATGGAACACAATTCCTCTCCTATTGGCCAAAGCTGGCCGCTTCTGGGCGATTGCTTCTTTCAGACGGTCCAATTGTTGACAGTACAGGTCCGAATTAAGAGTTTGGCCGTAGGGGAGCAGCTCATAGTAGATGATTCCCTGCCAATCCCACCAAACACACAGCAAAACCTTCCTGATCGTCAATCCTGGCTTGGCCACCGTTTGCGCCGGCTCATCGCGATTCGACCACGACCGTTTTCGCTTGACGTTGTCGTAAGTGACCCACTTTTCATCACCAGTAACCATTCGCTTCAGAAATGGGTCGATTTTGTTGCGATTCAGCAGCGATTCGCAGATGGAAATTCGGTCCATGAGGTTTTTTTGCGTTAACTCGTGTGGCACCCATACATCGAGCTTCTTTTTGTATCCAGCCTTATTTAAATGGTTCCAAACGGTTTTTTGTGCAATGTTTAGCTCCTGGGCAATCTAAACAGTGCTTACATGACGGTCGGACTCGACGATTTCCATTATTTTATCGACATTTTCGACAATTGGCCTTCCAGAGCGTGGTGCATCTTTGACATCAAAATTACCGGAACGGAATCGACAAAACCAAAATTGCGTGATATTGACTGTTACAGTATCAGGACCATAAACACTATTCACATTTTCAGCCGCCTTGCTTGCGTTTTCGCCTTTATCGAAGAAAAACTGTAAAATATGGCGTATTTTCTCTTTGTTGGTGTCCATCTTTGACACGCGCTCAAACAACTGACTCAAGCAATCACAAAACTGTCTGAGAAGTTTTTTTAGTACGAAATCTTATCTTTCTAACGCCATTTGGCGTAACCCGATCGCACTTATTTATACAACGCGAGATACAGATTACTAAAGCCATCTATTGGAAAAATAATAGATTTCTTTTTACTACACCTTATATGTAAGGGATCAGCGCCAGCGATTACAGCGTCTGTCTGTTCCCATTCTCTTTTTTAAAATGAGGTTAAGCAGTGTATTCAATGTGGAATTTTACGTTTCTTTACAAATATAGTGTTAGTTTTTTAAAGTAATGTTATAATGAATAATGTTTCCATACAGATATACACCGGTATCTAAGTTATTTTAATTGCAAAGAATTCGTTACTCGCATATCTTTAACGTTAAAAACGTTATAATATTTTTTTAAAGGTATAAATTTGTATAAACATTGTTGGTCAACTGATCCGTTAGATAAAAATAAATACTTTATTTCTTTGAACATTTGCAAGGTCTATATTCACTGCACAATTTCAAATTATTTTTTAATAACGACAATCATTTATTGTTACAATAGAATTAATTAAATTGTTGTAATATTTTGTCTCATTATTGTCATCAATCATAAACTTTCTACTGATACAACGATAAGTTCGTAACGTTAGTTATATACCGTTTCCAAATATATTTCATACAATTATACATTATTAATTTATTCCCTTTTTTAATCTCTTCATTTTTTACTTTGCATGTATCTTATAAAATTTAATTACCTTAATTACAGGAAATATTAATTTTATTTATAATAGATGTTTGTTCCTGTTTTAACATGCTTATAAATAAACTTTACCAAGAAATAATATAATATATACATGCATGCTATAATATATGCGTGTATGCTATTTATAAATCATATAAAAAAATTTTTATAATTAAGTAAATAAATTTCATTTTCATCAATTAGGTAAAGAAATCCTATAATCGACCAAAACTGATCTTATTACATAAATATTTCAATATGAATTTGTACAAGTACTCTAGACAATTCTATAAACTGTACAATAAAATTCTCTCCAATCTTGAAACGTAGTCATGGCTAGAACTATAATAGTATTAATAATATTATAATATAAAATATTATAATTGTGTGTTCATATATGCCCCCTTGAAAAACGATGTTCACTCACTAGTTTTGGTTTTTAATATTATTTAAAGTGCAATTTATTCGCATTCTATAATAGAAGTTTTATCATAAATTTTGTGAAAAATACTTACAACACTGAATTTATTGATAATACAATTTTTGGCGTAAATAATTATTTAATTTTTTCACTCGTACTAACATAGTTCAAACTATACGTACTTCACGCAATGTTTCAGTTCAAACCAAAAATACACAATTGAGGGCTTCATGTACAGATATGAACTAAGTTATGATAATATTATATTGTATGCAACGTGTATTGTAACAAGTACTGCAATTAGAAAGAT